CACACAGACTCACAGACACACAGACACACAGACACACAGACACACAGACACACAGACACACAGACACACACACACACACGTACGCACGCACGCCCAAAGCCCCCAACATGTGCGCGCCAGACTGACCAGAAACTTCGCAGGATTAAGTCTGCGCATGATGCCACAAAGCGCATGATCGCTTGCCTGGTCTCGTGCAGGCTCCTTCTTGTCTTGCCTTAAGCAGCAACATGGCTAAGGCTTAGCAGGCTTAGCAGCTTAGCAGCTAGCAAAATTGAATGCAGAATTTTGGCGACTCCAGGCTATCTCTGAATCTGTGTCGCAGCAAGGCGCTGTTCAGGAGGCATCATCTGAATGGTCACTGGTGTGGTCATGCCTTGTGGTATGTTACCGTTCAGGTTCTGGACGAGCCAAGCCGATGCTTCTTTCGCGACACCAACCAAAGCCTCCACTGCCTCACGCAATGTTGGACAGACTGTTCGGAGCCCTTAGCGAGACATCGACACATCCGCCTGGCCAGGACCCGACTCCAGTACATTTGTGGTGTATATGGGCGCATACTGGCCGAAGATCTGCTTGATGACTGCGTCCGAAGTGCCTGTACAGTCAGCAGTAACACTGCTGGCATTAGCCCCTATACCCTGAAATTCAGGAATGAAACTCAAGAGTTCCACCGGGACAACGAACCTTGTCTAGATGCTATCATGGTCTCCCTCTAGATCTGTGGAGAAATCACCCCATGGATGTCCATCCGATCAGGTGTCTCACATGCCCAGCCTGGCGGCAGACCACCTATATGTACTGTGTCATAGATTGCGGCGGCCATGGCATTTTGCCAGCAACCAACATGTACTCTGCAAGCTGCCTGGAAGCCAAACGCACCCCGCTGGCAAACTTCCGAGAGGAGACACCACTTTCACTCGGAACGCTGTACTAAGGTGGACCTAGACAAAGCAACCTTTTGGTGCAAAGCGCATGCGAAACGCTGCAGCGATGTAAATGTTCGATTCGGACTATGTGGGCATGTCATGGCATCTTGCGATGCTTGCTCTTTGGCGCAGCAGGTGTTGCAAAGGCAGCCGTGGTAGCAGCTGCAAAAGCGTTGGAAAGCCACAGCCGCAACATTTAAGGAGTGTCCTAACAGGCTCCTTGCAGCTAAGCAGGCTCTCTTGTCAGCCACGTCCTGTCCGAGAAATTTTACTTTTCATGTTCCAGCCGATCCTTGATGTAGCGATTTTTCTTCGCACAGATGTACAGCGCACATGTCTGCTCTGTCGAGGTCATCTGTGGCCAAAGCTTCTCACCAATCTGACCACCTCCTGCAATACCACGGACGGTCTGGAGATGTGTCAGAGTGCCATCAAGTTGCAGAACCAGCGGCCCCTTCTCCGGATCCATTTGCACTTCTTCTTCCTCTTCGTTGAGTGGAACCATGACCAACTTCAGCCCATCATACAAAGTAGACTTTGAAAAGCCTGCTGGCTCATGCGGAACCAACGCCATGGCTACACTCGAGGCCAGCCTGAACCCAATGCACTTTGCGGCATCAATGCTTCAAATCGACTGGAAAAAAGTGGAGAGTTTCGAAATCGAAAATCCTCATTTTTTCTTTCGTGCTATTTAAAATTTGAATTTAACAGCTGCGACCTGCAGGCAGGCCTGGCCCAAGTCAGACAACCGAACCCCGCTGCAGCATCACACAGATATGAAAAACGCGAGACTCTGCCGCAGGTCTTCGAGGCAATCCCACAATCCGAACATGACTGAGCCAGGCCCCGTGAATTGGATGCAACGAGCGCTAACTTTTGTAGCCTCTTGTTGGACGGACCCCAGGCCCCCCAGGCTCAGGTTGGGCATTGCCCGGCAGAGCCCTTCGGCCGAAAAGGGGCATCTGCATGACCTCCGGCAAACGTCTCCCAAGCACACGACGATGGTAAACCTGCTCCGAACCTGCTGTATCAACCGCCGTCGTGCCACTTGCTCTTTGTTGTGCTTTTCGGCGGCACAGGCAAGCCTTCGTCGAAGGTGAATACAGAACACAACCATCAACTCCACAGAACCTTCTGACATTTCTTAACATGCTCAGTCTGAGCCCCAGCCGACCACTGAAGCTGGGATGTTCCATGCCTTGCGCAACGAGGCTGCATGTGTTCTGATGAGCAGCTGCTACTTCCTTCACTGGCTTTCTGAGGTGCCCGGCTGACTCCACAGTCTTCTTGCCTGATGTAGCGGACTCCATCAAAGAAGTAGCCGTCCTTAGCTGGCAGAGCGCTCGAGTTTTGAAAATGGAAGAAGTACACAACTAGCACATCCTAACCGCCACCTCCCAGCTACACCCCCAAGTCGTAGTAGCGAAGCCGGGGCTTTAGCTTTGGGCTTTCAGCAGCTCGCTCGGACACTTCTGTTCGCCCGGAGAGAGAATTTCTAGCCTTCGGCTAGCTAATTTCGTTGCGCAGCCGTAGGGCTACCAGGGGCAAACCCACGCCCTTCCCCAGTCTATGTGGAAGGGCGTGGGTTTGCCATATAGATAATGAGTGTATAGCAGCTGATATATATATATATATCACAAATGAAGGTCTTAATTTCTACAAATAGGGTTTGTTGCGTTTATAACTCTAACATGTGTCGCATGCTCTTTGAAGCAGTTAACAAGCTGTCTGTGGAAATACGATTTACATATTAAGGTCGTATATAACTAAAGAAGATATTAAGTTGCATACACTATATACAGGCAAGTACGAGAAGTAATATAGTAATATGCCGAACATATTGTGTCAGTTCGTGCATTTCGCTAAGTGGACATAGCCAACAGAACAAGAGAGCTATGTGTACATGGCACGTATCTGTGTGTCATATGCGTGCATGCGATGTGAGATGATTATTTTCGGACGGCATCACTCGGCGACAGGATTGTTCTTTGCAGCATGATTTTGTGTATTCGCAAGTTCGTTCGCTGGGAGCTCATGCATGTATGAGCCGCCAAGCAGGGCATGCAGCAGTCATGTGTCGAGGTGCTTGCCTGCATGCAGCTTGATCATCAGGCATGCATTATTCGAAGCAGCATCTCCGGCCGGAGAGGGGTTTTGCTGTGGGAAGCGGCAACGGCGCCCATTCCCGCATCTGAAGCGAAGGTTAACGAACTCATGCATCAAACTGAAACAGGAGAAAACTCGTGAAGACCGTCAGTGTCGCTCCACTCCACTGCCCGGCAAAGTGAGCAAGGAAGGGGAGTAGCACGAAGAGGGCAGCCACTGATGCTACGACAGTGAACTGCACAGCCAAGGTTAGCACAAACTAGTTTCGTTGGCCCAGCAACTCCAGCACCGCTATAATTTTCTTCACGTCGCCTTTGGAGAAGCCCAAGGTGCCCAAGACCTAGTCACGTCGAGCGAAAAACCCAGCGTCCCGGCCCTGCCGGGAAGCCCCCTATCCACGTTGGTATTTTTCGGTGGGCTTTCGTACAGGAAGTCGGGTAGCCCGAGGTGGGTTTTCAGCAGTAACGGAGTTGGTTTGAGAGTTGCAACTCCCAGACTATCCAAGTGGGGTGCTGCCGATCGGAGCCCGTATAGCTGCTGATGGTCCGGCCATTGCCACATCGTAGCCGGTCTCAACCCTCGATGCGGCCCCGCGGGCAGCCCCCAGGTCTTCGGGCTGTTCCAGAACCATGAGCCTTGCTCTGGGAAACTAGCTTAGCCACAGACCAAACAAAATCGGCAAAAATGTTAGCGGTCATCGCCCCGGTCTCTCTCCTTTGCTGTTAGTGGGGCTTTAGCAGCTTGTGTGGCTGCTCGTTGTGGGGCTGCAAAAGCGAGCAACACCAGGGAGCAGGTGGCAGCACGTCGCTGAATTTTCTCCAAGCCTGAGTCCAGCGAAAGTTCGCCCATGTAGCCCGGGAGAAAGTAGCACAGGGAGGAGAGAGGAAAATCATATCGAAGTAGCCTTCGCCGATTAAGTCCTGGCATCTCTGCCGTATCCGGGACGTTGAAAGGTCGTGCTTCGGACCCCGGAGCTTATCCACCAGCGTAACGTGGATATCCATCTTGAAGGCGGGCGCTAGCCGCTTCAGGTAGGACTGAACATGTGTAGCCCGCTCCTTACCGGCGAAGAGGACGAGTGCTCGAAGCGAAGCCCGTCCTGGCCGTCGCAGGTCTCGCTCATCCTGTCAGTTAGCCGCCGCGGCCGCATCCGCACTAGCCCTCTGGGTGCACTTGGTAACCGGATGGTCGCCAAGGCACTTCGTGCAGACATGCTTGAAGTGGCATTTGGCCTCTTTCTTGCAGCCGTTTTTGGCGTTGTATCTGTAGCATATCGGCTCGCCCTCCGCTGTCCGGGAATAGCCCTGCTTAGCCTTGCCCGTCTTGAGCTTCTTGTTACCACCATCGCCTTTCTGGCCCTTGCCGCCCTTGCCCGTGCCCTTGTTATCCGGCGGTGCGGGACATCCGGTTTTGGCACATAGCGACAGGAGCGTCGTGAATTGCCTTTCCGTTGTAGCCGCGTCTTTCCAGGCTTGGACTAGCGCATCGGCGAAGCCTAGCCCCTTCGTCGCCATCCGCTTGTAGGCTAGCTTCCTGATAACCGCCTCACAGCTCAGGACAAGGGTCCACGGAGGGGCCAAGGAGCCGCTAGCCTCGTTGGAGCGTAGCCCGTAGCAGTAATCGCTCAAGACTTAGTCGCACATGCAACTCGCATAGCCATGTAATCTGTGGGGGAATGGGTTTGCGGAATGTGTTTCTTCCACTCCCTCAGCTCATTGGCGGCTTCTAGCTCGGCCTGGTTTTTGGTTCTCGCGCCTGCGCGGTTGCCAGCTGCTGGTCTTCGGGGAGCCAGGGTCTGCGGGCAGTGGCGCTCCACTGGAGTGACCTGCCGGGAACGGCGCTTGTCCGCCTGCAGGAACATAGTGCCAAGTCCCTCGGCCATGCATCGCTCTTTGGCCGTCGGCTGGTCCACCGCAATCCGCAGAGCTCCAATACCCAGCCGGGTCCTTAGATACAGGGTGGAGATTTTCTAATGACACTTTGTCTTTGTCTTGCCCTTTTTTGGTGCGGATCTGCCCTGTTTGAAAGTTTTTCGAGGGTTTTAGAGGGTTTTAGAGGGTTTTTCAAGGGTTTTTAAAAAGTTTTCGAGGGTTTTAAAAGGCTTTCTGATGATTTGACAGGGCTGTGCGACGATTTTCGAATGTCTTCGAGGGCACTTTCGAGGGTTGAAAGGGTGGCTGTTGAGGGTCAACCCCCCCTGTTTGCAAACACACTGCTCGCATCGTGACTGGCGGAGTTTCAAAAAGACTCTTATTATGCATGGTGGGCTTCACAAACGACTCAGAAGCTGTTGAGCAAACTTGCACAAGGCTCAAAACAGCGGGGAGGCCACAGGCCATCCCCCGTTTGCAAACACAATGCTCGCATGGTCGGCTTCAAAAAAAAAGCTCATATGCTGGCAAGCAAGCTTGCACAAGCGGGGGGGTGGTGGGCGCAGCCCCCCCTGTTTGCAAACATACTGCTCGCATGG